AGACCAGCCATATACTGTATGTTTATGTTCCAAAATTAATATCGTTTATGGCCTTCACACGCGTTAGAGTATGCTCCTCTTCTTTTTATGCTCAGCTACTAAGATTTCCCTTCAGTGGTAAAATTCCATATAAATATTCAATACTACAACGGGCACAGTAAAGACGTTTACTGTAAATCTTTCTACGACAGACCAACGGATCATGAGTGCCCCTTTCAGTCAACCAATCACGTACCGCGTGTCATCGTGCGTCACAATGCGCGACGACGTAGCCAATTACCTCTGGTACGTGTCTGTACCGCGCACTTTGAATGGCTGCATCTGTATATATAATCATTAAAATCCAGAATAAAAAAGTGGTATTAAAAAGACCACTGAAACAAAAATAAAAAATTAGAAGTCTTACAGAGTGAAAAGTACAAAAAATTGGGAGAGTATAAGTATAATAACTGAACATCATTAATATATTAATTAATGAATAATAAATAATGAAAAATTATAAACATCCATAGCAGGTAATATTAGCTAAAGATAAAAAAGACGCTACACAGCAGTATTTTACCTTCTTCATAAACATTTTCTTCATTAATGTCTTTATCTGTGTACAGAGTGACAAATCAGAGGGGTATATTGATGGCTTAGTTTCATTGTCTCCTTTCAGTTGGGTGCGGGAAGTGAGGGGGAAACTGGAATACAGTTTTAGTTTCACTCTTTCTTGTCTAGAGAAGGAAAAGCTCGAATGACTTTAGAGCAATTTGCAACAATTTTTATTTTCTTTGAGATGCTACTTTGAAGTGTAAAGGAAAATGAAACTGTCAATAAAATGACTACTAGGTCAGCTATATGGTTGAAATATAATAGTAATATATTTTATATATATCATACTTTGTTAATTTCTGTTTTAAATATCTAATATATAAACAATAGATTAACAATGTTAAATAAAATAATTTTCTATTAATAAATCTGTTTTTATGACATTGATGTTTATATTAATTTTATTAAATATTAACTTTACATTCATGATCTCTTAAGAGTTAGGCACCCTCTTGCCAAAAGGTTCCTTTCCAAAGGTATTTTGCACACTAACATCATTGCTACTATTCCTAACAATTGTATTTTCAATAAAATACTATATGTGAAGTAGTTAGTTTTGTATAGTGTAATTCATATGCATGTTATCATATTAGGTATCTCCTTTATTGGATGTAGGGGGGAAGGGGTTCTACCTTCTGAAGTGGAGACACTCAATCTGCGAGTAACCTGCTAGGTTTGAAAACAAAAACTCACCCATCTGACATTTCCCTAAAGACTGGGCCAACCTGCTGCTTCTTCATTTCTAGAGGAAAATGTTATGATCACACTGTTAAAACTGGCAGCACACCATCATAGAAAAGTTAAATAATTTATTGTTTTTGTCTTCAGACTATTAATGAAAGGCAAAAGTGCTCATTATTATAGTTTCTATTGCAATTGGAAAATTAATAAATGTGAGGGGTTGACACAAAGCAAATGTATTTAGAAATCCCATTGACTGCAGTGCTCAGCTAACTAAGAAACAGCTGATAGTGACAGGCAGCAATGGTCAAAACAGGAAAACAGCTGAACTGCAGTTCAGTTCATATATATGTAGCTCTACTTATTAGGATTTATAAGATTATAGACAGGATTCATTGACCTGAGTAATGTAATCTCTTGGCTATCACATAACTCACACTATCCATTATTAGAAAAAGGGAATATTGGAATTGTACACATTATTATAAACATGTATTTTCTAAGATGGCCTAAAGTACACAGCAAGTAAAGTTAAAAGGCAGGAACATACTCTCTGGACTGTGTCTTCTCTGGCCTTCAGGAACATGGCAATATGACTGCAGGAACTCTGCAGCCTTTTGCTTACTAGACAATAGGCTCTGGTAAGAGCCAATTTCAGTGATTTTCCCATTTTCCATTACCACAATCTGGTCTGCAAGCGGTAGAACTGTGGTGTTGTGAGTCACCAACACGCGTGTCTGAAAGATAATGTGCATTATTTCACAAACTGCTAGGTTCAGACCCATCACTAAATTAATTAAACCACTTTTAACACTCTTTAGTTCCTTAGGTGCTAAAATACAGACTGATATTTTAGGCCAAAGAAACTTAATTTATTAATAATCTAGACAGCAGGACATTTTTCTGAAGCTTCTGAGAGAAGTACTGTAGTGCCCTCGCCCTGTAGTGAGGAGGAAGTGCACCTAGGCGCTCAGGGAGCAAGCTGGGAGTTGTAACCAGGTGAAGTCTGAGGGTCCACACGATGACCAGCAGCTGACCACCTAGGTCATACTTCATTTGGTTCTACTCACACAACTCATTAAAACTTCTCATTAACTCTTCATTCTCTTTTCATTAGTCACTAAGCAATGTCCATGCGCATCAAACTTACTAAATCTTCTCATGATCTCTACTCTTTTTGTCTTCATTAATCTCCAGGCACACTAGAGTATTCAACCTGATTAACAATTGCCCAGTTCTTCATCTTTACTTTAACACTGCTAGCCACTGGAGTATTCAATTAGATTAATTCCATCTCACCCAATCAAACTGTTCACAAAATAATAATTTTAACTTAATTCTTGGCTCTTACTCTCCACCAAGCACCAGATCTTCAATAACAAGCACTAACTTTTCCCATCACAAACTTTCCTGGCTGATCTTGTTTGGCAAGCAATGCTTCTCAAAAACCAACACTTGCATCCTAGAAAAAGCAACAGTCAACTAAGTTCTCTTTGTCTTTTTTATCTCTACACACTCTGAGACTTGAGAAGTGTCCATCTTGGTTCAAGGCCACAACACCAGGCCTAGGTTTTAAGCCAGAATAGAGACTCTCAAAACACCACTTGCCACTAACTCATCGTACCTTACTCAAATGCTCCACCTGGGATTTGAATTAAATTCACCTGAAGTTAATCCACTTTTCCACACTGCTTCTTTAGAAGTGAAATCCATAAAATCTATTCTTGTATAAGTCTATTGTAAATCTAAGTACTGGAGCAGTAAATCCTAAAGGTTCTACATCACTCTTGCTACTCCCAACCTGGAAAAAAAGACAGGAGTGCAATCACTATGAATGTTTTTGCTGCCTCCTTGTTACTGAGCTATGAGTAATAACAACTGAGTTATTTATATAACTGTCACTAATGGTCTCTGTCTAGGGTTGAGTTTTTTTGCGGACAAGGTTTGGCAACTGAAAATGTCCTGGGAAAGTCAAGATTGTGTGCAGCATTTTCTTTGGTGCTGAGCAGCTTACTTTGTTCTTTAAGAGACCTGTGGGTCCAATAACTCTGTTAAGCAACTGCTGGCCAACATGCACATCAACAGCCGAGAGGGGGTCATCCAGCAAGAAGATGTCGGCATCACTGTACACGGCCCTTGCAAGACTCACTCTCTGCTTCTGTCCACCACTCAGGTTCACTCCCTATGAACACATGAACAATACTGCATCTCAGAAAAACAGCAACAGCCACTTCATTGCATCACAGCATTCAATAACATAGTCCTTGGAGATGTGTCCAGACCACATGACCAAACTCAATCCTAAAGGGCAGCAGTCGTTAAGGACTTCATTTCTGTATAACAGTTAACCTTCTAATTGTAGTTTTTTATCTTCTTAGCTACTGATGGGATACATGTCCGAATAACCTCCTCAAATTAGAACGTTTAAGTTTTTAAGGGTCTGAGACTATTTCAGTAGAACCTTAGAGGAGCAAATCTGAGGAAGTCAAAAATGTTTTCATACAAGCTTTGAAGCAGTCAACAAATATCATGCCGAAAATGTTCGAATGGCCTGTTTTTCAATTTAATGACAAAAGACCAAACACTAATGAAAATATTCAACAATGATGATAAGGAAGACTAAATTGCTTTGCATTTTTGTTTGAGAGAACTAAGGTGAGACAAAATGACTACAACTCATACTGAAATAAATTTTGCCATATGAGATTCACCATTTACACATTTACTTCATCTGGAAAATAGCAGACTCACTGTAATGTGTATAATCCCAGGGCTGTGGCTATATGTGGATTGCACTATGCCTTGGGGCTATTACTGTGTGAGAATTGCAAGTATAAGGGGGCAATATTTCTCCCTTCTTCTCTTTTGTTTTCTAATTGTCCCTCATTTCTAGATGGTCTTTTCCACACCTTATGTCAGTCAGGAATTCTTACTGTTTGTAAATTGATTGGTATTCAGATAAACAATTAGATGTACACACTGTACTAATTAGATAAAATATTAAAACTAGAGCACCTTGCTCAGAAAAGGAAAAGCTGCAGAAATGCAAGAAATGCTTATGATACTCCATGCCTTCAGCTGGAAGAAAAAAGATCTACAGTTTGGCAGTTCTTCATATACAGTAGGACGAGCAAACCAGGAAAAGCTATTGTTTATACAATAAGTATTGTTTATAATGAAGATAAACAGAATGTGGCTAAATTATGAGTTGAAAAATAAGCACCATATGAGTCACAGCAACCAGACACTTTTGAACTGAAAATATATCATTTTTATACATTGTAGCTAATCAACAAATTAAACAGAAAACTAGGCATGAAAACAATATTTTATACTTGTGTGC